TTCCTGCTGTAGAAATATCATAATAATACCTAACATTCTCATAATTTCTCAGTAACTACAATATGTAGTCTTCATAATAAATTCTTGGACTAAAAAAGCTGATTGAACAATGACAATTAGGAGCATGACATCTAAGTATACTTCTGTAGTTTGAGAGCTCCAATCACCTGCTTTCACAATGTCTTAACATCATTATTACAAGAGGAAAAAAAAGGAAAAAAAAAAAAAAAAAGAAAAAAGGAAAGAAAAAATAAAAGGGGGGGAGAGAAGATCACTCACTCGATCTAGAGTTTGTCCTAACTGTTCTTCTAGGGCTTCGTTCTGTTCCGTCAGCAGGTGGTTTCGCTTAAGGAGGGCTTGTCCAATTCGAGCTGCCAGTTCCAGGTCCCGATCTTTCTGCTCACAAAATGAGAATAAATGCCTACATTTTATCAGGTAAGGTTTACATTCAGAGTAGTTTTAGATTTTTCTAGCTGTTGTTTAATGCATCACCACTCTGAGATCCCCCTTTACTATCAAATGGATAAACACTGTTAAAACAATGACTAATGCTTCATCATTTGGATCCTGAACATACGCATAACTGTGTTTCTTGATACAGCACATTCTCTTCTACGGTCATGTGCGGTAACAGGGCGAGGAGAAAGCACCAAACCTGGGGACAGTTCTGGTTTTCGTCCTGAGTACTGAAGATGTTATATGGGCTCTATTAAATCACACAAAGAAGCCACATTCACTTAGGTCTGTAGTCTTTCAAGTGACACTTTCTCCAGAACAGACTGGTCAACTTCAATAGTGATAACAGAGTAGAAGCAAAGGAGCAACAGGAAAGCAGAAGAAAGCTGTTTCTTTCTCATACTCACTGGCTCCATGAGTGCCCATAGTTTTGCTAGATTTTATTTAAATGGACAGCTTCTCATTACCTATGTGCCTGATAAACAGCTCCTGAAGATAACTGAACTAAAATTTCCAGCAGCTGAAAAAACTCTTACTCAAGTACAAGTACTCAAATATATTAACATTGCATTACAGAGATGAGCATACCTCAGCTAACAGATGTTTGACCATGTCAGCATCGGTGTAGGCTTTCTGCTCCACATCATCTGTGCCAAGAACTGAGAAGAGAGAAACATACTTACTAAAGTAGCTTAAGTACAAGACAACTGCTGGGAATGGAGAGAGTTACAACTCAGGATGATGTTTACATACAAGTATGGTGCTTAGTTGATGAAACTCGCAAAGGCTATGAAAATGCATCTTAACTTCAGAAATATGAAACAATACTCATTTGGGAGACTGATACAATGAAGCCTTAAACATTTACAGCTTTCAGCAATATTAGCTAAAACTTGAGGTACTCGCACATCCTTCGAATTCAGGAAAAGGAGAAAAATCTCTTAAGATCAACTTTTTGAATACAGCTAAGCTATTAAATCATCAAACCTGCTGTGGAAGAGGGAAGAGTATATTGGAGCATATCCAAATGTAGCTGAACACACCTGCAGACTTCACCCTTGAAACTAAATTCCCATTCGTGTGTGTGACATCTACACGCAAGAAGAATGGAGACCCCAGAGACTAATCATGAAAATGTATTTATTAAATGCTCAATCATCTTGGAAACAGTTAAAAAGAAATAGGAAAATGTATGTCTGCAATTTAGATGTAGCTGTAAATCCTATCTTACTGATAGAGTGACTGGCATTTGAAGAGTTTGTAAAACTATTAAAGAACTCTGAATAAGTAGGATCTGAAAAACAGGACTGAGTCAAAAATAAAGCATGAAGAATTTGCAACAACTCTGAATAAAACACAGTGCTGAAACACAAAGAAGTGGTCTGCTGTAGTTTTTGTCCTGAGAAATAGAAGATGCTGCTACAGTAGAAATCTTAATTACCTTGCGCAAATTTCTGAGATCCAGCCAAGGAGGAGGAAGGAAGTTCAATAAGAGCTAGAGTGACAGAAAATGGAAGATACAAAAGGAGGGAAAGAAAAAAAGAGAAGAAAGAATTAAAATGTAGGGAAATATGTGATTTTTTTGCATGATCCACCACCACTAGAAAATAAATGCATGTGCAAACACAGTTTTTATGCTAATAAATCTTCCTGAGAACTTTTGAAGAACCATTAAAACACAATTCCCTTCAGAAGCAGAATTATACATCTCACTTGCAGGTGATGGATGCTTGTCCTTGACTAAGTCCAAGAGAAATCTGCTATTTTTGCTTTACGGAATCAAGATCATCGAAGTGAAGAAGGCAGCAACATAGGTTTAACAAATACAGAGTATCTGCTTCAACTGAAGGTCTCAGTTAACCTGTTTTGAAACTAATTCCATCATTGCTGCACTGCAAAATGAGATTACTGTGGATTTGGTCTAAATCTATTTCTAAAGATTTCCTTCACTCTTCTACCTTGTTCAAATCTAACTCATACTCCGAATACATAGTACTACTGGTTCACAGCTTTTTTATTTGTTCTTGTTGAGGACTGTCTGCTTAGTTCTGACATAGTGAAGTGCCAAGCTGAAGTGCAGACTAAATTTATTTACATATGTCAGGAGCTATCTATGTCCATAATTAACCTTTTAAAACATAACACTAAGGCTGTGCTAGGAAAAAAGCCATTTTTCAGCATACAAAAAAATTTTCTTGCGGTCTTGAAGACAGGAGAACAGAAAGAACAATATAGAAGGAAAAAAGGTTTACTTAACTGTTTCTCTAAGGTTTTAACACAAAAAGAACTCGCACTAACAAAACAAACACTTTTTATCAATCAGATCAGTACACATAAAAACCCAACACATGCTGTTCAACTATTTAGGAGCTCTGAACGTACAGCAGGGTCATTTACTAGTTGTATTTCTAAGCAGGGCAAAAATAGAAACTCTTCCCAAAATTTAAAGTACTCATCTATCAGTAGAATAATGCGCATTTGGGAAGCCAATTTTACTGTACTGCTTGGTTGCTGATATTGGTTGCTGAGAGGAGACTTCAAACTCATCTGGCTTACTAGTATGAGGAAAATTCATTGCAAATATGTAACTTTCAGCCATCACAGGCAGAATATTATAGCTAGCTCTCCTACAATAACTGTTCCCACCAAATAATTTCAAGTTAAAAGTTTCTATCCAGTGCTAAGTCACCTTAATAAAGATTTACACACAAGGTTACTCAGGTACATAGGTTCCTAAAATCCAAAGCAAATATATTTATCCTGATAAATGAAATCACAGAACTAACAGCTTCAAAACTTAGCTGTATACATACAACCTTTGTTATTTTCTCACAGTACAGGATCAAAATTATACATCGTTTGTTGTAATTCTCTTGTGAACATGCACACGTGCAATCTCTCTTCACTCACCTTGCCAAGTGAAAGCTGCAAGCAACTCTTCATTTTGCTTAATATTCTTGTTCTGTTGTGCCATGTCCCTTTATTCACACACACAGTAGTTCTAAAGACAGATGTTTTGGGCTTCTTACACTACTGCAGTTGAAGTAGAATGTATTCTTCCACCTCACTGAAAACATTGCCAGTGGGAACTCAACTGGTTATTGGATAAACCTAATAGGCAGCAGGAGTCATAACAAGAGGAGGAGCTCAAGTGGAATAACTCTTGTGTTGTTGGTGGTGGTGGTTTGGTATTTTTTTTTCTCTTGGATGTCAACTACAAATTCCCTTGAACCATGAGTTTAGCATTCTCTTTAGGAAAGTTATAAAAATGTTTCCATACATATATAGTGAGGGGGAGAGATATACCTAAAACTCCCAAGTTATGCTTCAGGAGTGTGATCGTCACATTTCTTCTAACATTTCACCTAACAAGCTATTCAGCAATGATTATAACTAGATCTTGATTCATATCTCTATTTGTCTGGGACCTTCCAAGTATCTCCCTGTAAGCTAATATAATGATTACTACATTTACTCTCTTCAGACAATTTCTAGGAGAAACATAAACCATATTTATCTTGAGTTTATATGACTCAACAGTTATGACAGTGTTCTTAAATGATAGAATTAGTTTTCTATGTAATGCCTAACAGTTATCTTTTAACTCAATTGCAGTTATTGTGACAGCTCATTTATGACAATGTCAAGAAAACATCTATGGCAACTGATCAAAAAACTCTCACAGTTTACTATTTCCACAGGATATTTTCTATAGTTAAAAAGAATTTCTCACTAGGTGAAGGGGAAAGACACCACTTTTTGTAGTAGCTTGATTGCCAAGTAATACATGACTGCTTTCATTAAAACATTGTTGACAAAACCCCTCCATCTCACTGCATTTGGAAATGCAGGCTCACACTGACTGAAGGTCCTTCTCTCAAAGCTCTGTGCTTCAACACACTTGAATGGCAGGTGTTGACCAGAGAGCTTCAGCAGAGCCGCATTTGATGTAAAGTTCCTTCTAGCACTGGCAGGCTCTGATCCCACTTCTTTATAATTAAAACTTAAAGGTAAGTACACACCCCACTGCCTACACAACTGCTTCCAGTGAGCAACCGAAAAAAATCATTTATCCTTGCAATATTATTATCAGAAACAGACTGATTAATAACCATTAGTGGTCTTCCAAATACTTTCCACAGTTAAAAAGGAAGAGTTCCAAGCCTGCAAGTTCAACTGGTAACAAGATTGCTTTAGTTGTTAAGTACTGCATTCTTAGGAGGCAGTTTTTTACTTACTCATTTGCTGTATATCCCGAGTAGAGGCTTAAAGCACAACCGACAACAAAAACTTTTCAGAGGTGGCATGTGCAAGGAAGATGTAATCATTACGGTCGTATATAAATACCAAGGTTATATATAAACACAAAGTTGACTCTCCCATGTAGTTTGTTCCAACAGTTCCAATATATTGAGAAAACAGGACTTCCCTATTTTTCTAAACTGACTGCAATGCACTGATCTCTTTTCACAGGACAACACTTGAAACCACAGGCAAGTAAGCATTCAGTTCTTTTGTTAGCCTTCTATACATTTGATTTTTAATATATTAAAGGTTTCTTTAGGCGAGTGGAATCTGCCCATTTTCTTCCTTATGATCTGCTAGGTTTAACGATAAGTTAGTATTTCCAAAATTGGAAGGCAGTGATCAACACTGACCTAGTACCCAGCTATCTGGCATTCACACCATTTCTGTCCCCAGAAGAAACCATTAACAGCATTTCAAAAACAACACTTACAAAAATCTTCAGGTCAAACATCATCCCAAGTACCACAGCCTCATTAGTTAGGCCCACTGTAGGAGAGGATCAGGTTCAAGACCATCTTAAGAACCTGAATGTGCACAAGTCCATGGGACCTGATGAAATCCATCCGTGGGTCCTGAAGGAGCTGCCAAATGAAGCTGCTAAGCTTCATTTCTGAAATGAAGTCCATCATATTTGAAAAATCATGGCAGT